CAAATAACGGACATGTCAGAAACTCACCTACAGGGGTATGTTCAATGTTCATGCAAAGGTTCCGCATTTGTTCAACTGAGAAGAGGATAGGAACCTTACCTCTGTCCAGAATGTCAACGCAAGTGGTAATCCAACCCGTATGTGCATGATCATTACGGAAGTGAATAACAAGTCTTTCCTTAACTGTAGATTGTTCTCCATGTGCAAATGGTTGTTTGGAGAACCAGATCTGATCACGCTTTGGGTGTTGTTGGCATGCTTGAACAAGTCGATCTATGGCAAAGCGGGATCCCATTGCTCTGGTACAACCTGAGTCAAGAATCACATAAGTCAGATGAGAACAAAGATCTTGTTGGGCGCCATGATCATAATTATGATAAACACACTCTTCCGTGGTGACGGAATTGAGTGGGCACGTGTGCTGCAGGAACGGATGCATATCACCGGAATCGGTTGCGACACTGTCCCCCACATGACGGATGCTCTTAATTGAAAACCTGTTCAAATCTGAAAAGCACTGGTACAACAGAGACGCGAACAGAAGCACGAATGTGAAGGCCTCTACAAGTTCGTGTCCGAGATATCGGAACAAGCAAATGGCCGAAAAACAGAACCGGTTGATCTGGTCCGTCTGTCCGTCCTCAGAAACGACGTCAGAACTTTCTGAATGCTTGTCCTCGAGTTCGGTCAGTTCCTCAGTGGAAACAAAGCAAGAAGACCAATTGTACCAATCACCTTGGGAGTAATCTCCATCATATCCATAGTAGGATTCATATCCTGACCAGTCATCTGTCCAATAGGTGTCATAATCATAGCTCCAGCTTTCTTCGGCATGGGCAGTTTCTTGTTTTTCGGGGGCTTGTGAGGCACTAGAAGATGCTTGCTGTGCTACATTTGCTTGCGGAGGCTGTTGTTGTTGAAAAGATTCTCCTCCTTTGTTCTTTCCATCTCCTTGCCCTTGCCCTTCCATGAAGGCATTCCTTTGAAAGAGTCCTTTCCTTTCATTCCTTTCTTGCACTTCTTGCCTTTTCCTTTTCCCCAGAAAGCCGTGTCTTGCTGGTCATTGTCCCATGCTGCATAACCTTTTCCTTTTGACCGCGGACGGAAGCCGGGTCTTGATCTTTTTCCTTTCTTTCCGTAACCCTTCGGCCTTCCTTTCTTGAATGGTATGAACCCTTAGCGCCTAGAACCCAGAATTCGTTCTCTGTATACAGACCCGTGAAACCTTCTTCTCCGGTCTCCTCGTCAATGACCCAGAAGCCATGTTCACCTTCTTCGGTCTCGCCTTCCTCCAGGATGTAGAAAGTGGACCGTTTTCGGTGCGCGATATTTGGGTCGGCAACACCTGTGCGAGAAACGGCAAAAAGTTCTAAGAACAGCTGTTTCACTTGGAGATAAGTATATTGAGGCATTGCTATCTGACGGATGTTCATGGACGAGACAAAGCGCTCTCTTTGTTGCTCGTTAAGGTCTGCTTGAACCAAGAAAATCAAGGACATCAAATTGTCTGACCACGGAAAGTCTTGGATATGTTGGACCTTTCTATTTGTTATGGTCTGTTCTCGAAGGGTTGCCTGGTATGCTAGTCTGCCTTCATCTGTTGCCAATTGATTAAAGTGCAGTCTTTCTTCATCTGTGAGTGCTGCTGTAAATGCCTGTGTGCCTGCTTCCGGGAGATCGGATAAGTCAAGCAGGTCGGACCACGATGCCATTAGGCGCTTCTGAGCGATTTCGAAACGCCCAATCCAGTGCACGAATTCGCTCTGGCCTCGATATGTGCGAAACATCTGCAAGAATCGCCAAAAAAACATGATTTACCCCCTTTAGGAAGTAGGGTCTCAATGTGTCCTTGAAATGAGCGAGGCCACGATCCGGATCTCGGAGTAGGGCATTGTCGAGCATCGACTTAAAAAAAGAAGCTGAACCTACGAGGGCATTTTTCAAAGATGGTCCGTGCTTGTCTGCATCCAATGTTGTGATCCCGAGCCAGTCATCTATTAAATCTTCATATTCAAACCAGCTAGATTGGCCATCAAATTGCTGTGGAACCTTAGGAGTCATTTTGATGCCTAGCCGGTTTTCGGCTTGACTGGCGGCGGCGAATGCGTCAGGCTCTTCATAGGTAACAATTTGGAGTTGTTCCTCGTCTGAATCCATGTTATGGATTAAGACCATGGCAGCTACTCTGACTTGACCTACAAGTTGCCTTCGCAAGTCCGGTTGTCGGATCGTGTGCAAAGATCAACTGCTTGACACGTTTCGGAACTTGACGAAGGCACAAGCTCCGCTACCACTTTGAGGTAGAAA